AGTCATTTCCTAGGCATTCAAATGCAAGCCTACAAAGGTGGAATGTTCATGCATCAACAAGAGTACGCTCATGACATTCTGCATCAGGCCATGATGACTGATTGTAACCCAATGCCAACACCTCTCTGCCTATCAGAATTGCAGATTTCCCTGAACCTACCTACTATCGAAGTCTTGCGGGGAAGCTACAATATCTGACAATTACTCGCCCTGACATCCAATATGCTGTGAATCTAGTGTGCCAGAGAATGCATTCTCCTACTCAGTCAGACTTTGGTCTTCTCAAGCGTATACTCAGGTATATTAAAGGTACATTAGACTTTGGTATGCACACCAAGAAGGATAAAAGTTTGGTGTTATCTGCATTCTATGATAGTGATTGGACAGGGTCTAAAGACACTAGAAGATCAACAACAGGATTCTGCACCTTCTTAGGTCCTAATATCATCTCCTAGTCAGCCAAAAGACAGCCCACAGTGTCCAGATCCTCGGCTGAAGCTGAATACAGAGCTCTCTGTTCAACTGCTCAAGAGATAACCTGGCTTTCCTTCCTGTTGCGTGACCTCAACCTTCCTCAGTCTCAGACTACTAAGGTGTTCAATGATAACCTTTCTGCTGTTTACTTGAGTGCCAATCCAGCTCTGCATTCTCGGTCCAAACACTTTGACACGAACTATCATTATATCCGGGAAAAGTTGCTCTGGGACTCATTGAGACTAACCACATTCCAGCAACACAACAGTTAGCTGACATCTTTACCAAGTCTTTACCTCGACGTCCTTTCTTTGAGCTCCGTAGCAAGCTTGGCATTGGTGTTGCCCCCACCTCAAGCTTGAGGGGGAATATAAGCCCAAGCCCAAGTTATAATGAAGACAAAACATGATCAACGGTCTTCTCTCTCTCTGAATGAAGCTGGACAAAAGAGTTGTACGATGCACCTCCAAAATAGATTCGAGCCGTTGCTGGTCATACCAGTAAGGTGACCTAGCTTTACAGCTGTAGATCCATTCTGTTATGATGTATTTAGACAGTCTCAGTAGCACTATAAGTGTGTGATGTAATCTCGACCATTTTGATTATCAGAGAAAGTATTATTCGGTCACAAGAAAATATCTTGTTCTTCATTTGTCTTTAGTTCCTACTTCCTAACTTTGAAAGGTTACTTAAACTTTGATATCAGCAGCATCTGAAGTCTAGCTCAATCTTTGGAGATGCGACCAGCACGTGAGATTGCTGGTGGTCCGTTTCTGGAAGTTTCTTCTCATCTTTAAGGTCGTCTAATGTAGAGCTCTCATGGCGACGAAGGTGGTGACAGTCGCGCATGCAGCATGCTTATATTTCTTGCTCGAGAAAACTACTATGCTAACCACATATGCTTTACAGTGACCACCTCTCGTCGAAAAAGAGATTTCCTCATCGAGCAGTAACAAAACACATTTATCTAGGAAGAGATTTTCAACGTCCTCTTCAGCAATGTGAGGCTTTTCTCAAGAACGTGAGTGATCTACTAAATGCATGAAAGCATGTATAGAGAAAAGGGTTCTTTCATTAACACTTGGCATCGTACTAATGTTTCTTCGCTTTGTATATCTACGGAACTGTCCACTTAACGACGATAGATCAGATGGGTTACCGATTTTTACAGAAACTGGTCTAGGAAGAAGGAAGCTTTTTTGATGCTATGATTATATTAAGAGGATTGATAAATCAAGTAATCGAACTTGAAGCCGAAGGTTTATCATGCAAACGTGTTCGTCGAGAAAAGTGTCCATCATATCAAGTTCTTTTTAAGGAATGTATTTGTTTGCATTGAATTCACACTTTAGGTGAGAAATGTTCAGTGCGTGACACCTAAGCGTTTTGCTAAATAAAAGCTTCTCATGCAGCCACGTCACACACCTTGCCAATAAACTTTTAAGATAAGTTTTAAAAGTGATTTTCTTTTAATATATAGGGGATTTGTTATAGATCTACGTAAACTTTTGTTTTCTTAAACCTCATCATTCTGATTAGAACCACTACAACATTCACCACCTTATATTATCACATGGGAGACTGTAAACATCATAAAGCTTTAGTTTCATGTTTAAACTTTAATTTGTGTTTATTTTCGAGTTAAATCATTGGATTTCAAGCTCCACAAGTAAGGTCAACTTGAATTATTGATATGTTGCATATTTGCTTAGTCTTAGCCTTGCATTCTTACTTATATTGAGCATATAATTTAGATTTAGGCATCTCTAGGTTGCATATTGCATACATTTGTCTTTATCAGGTCATGGAGCAAGCTATGGAGTCTCTGGAGGTGTTTGGGGTCGATTACATGTCAAAAGAAGGTGCAAAAGTGTCATTTGGCGAGCCGGAGCAACCACAGCGGAGTCAAGAGGTCGCTGCAAGGAGAACCAGCCGGAGCGGGGTCGTG